ATTTATGATACTTGGGGTTGTTTGATAGGACGTATAAAAATAGTGTTGACTTTAACCTAAAGAACATATTTCAAGTCGTTGACTTATTTATATAACGAGCATTTAAAAAGATAAATTGAATCAATATGAATTAAATTATGAATATCGCTTAAGCTATCTAAATTAAATTATTCTATATGAAATAATAATTCTTTCATACAGGATAAATTGAGAAATTCATCTTTTTAGGTAAGCTGAATTTAAAAGTCATGACAAGAAAACTCAATTATTAAGTAAAAAAAATTACTTATCATGTTTGTTTTTTTTAAAAAAAAGGATAGTTCTATAGTATATTGATATTCATAACTTTGTATAGAAATTAATTGACAAAGCAATAGGAATTCACTCGAATATTAAAAGAGGATATAGTTTTATAATTTTTTTGATATATTAAATTTTTTATCTGAAAAATATATCGTATCAACACCTCTAAGAGATTGGTGTAAATTCAAATTGATCTAACAACAGAAATGTCACTTACTAAATCACTAAAGTTCAAACGAATTGTTTGATTTAAACTTTTATAGGTAAAATTCAACATTTATATATAAAATTCAATATTTATATTATGGATAAAAATTAAGTATGATGTTTGTGGTCAATTAGATTACAGTCTATTTTATGTAGAGTGCAAGATTTAATCTATGATGAAGAAAAACTTTTGAGAATAATTCAACTTTTAATTTATCGAGAGTATTTGAGTGTGTGTTTATGATCAATTATTTGTTTAAATATGTTTAATTTATTTATGTCGTATCAATAAGTTCGTGATATTAATAGATTTTTTTATTCGTATTCAATGCATGTACTAAATTATTTAAAAAGTCTTTCACTATGAGTGTTAATTATATATATTAATCTCAATAAGGCATACATTAACCCCATGTATGTTCCAATATATCGGAAGAAAAAGAGAATTGAAAAGAAGTTTAGAAGAGTTGAAGAAGGTAAAGGAGACTCTTCTAAGAGAAAGAAAATGTATCGCCATAATTATAAGAAGTCGGATACTTGCCACAAATGTGCAAGATTTGGTCATTATGCAAAAGACCGCAGAGTCAAGGAAAATATTAAAAGTCTTGATGTAAGTGACAACATGAAAGATTCTGGCATACATTAACCTCATGTATGTTCCAATATACATAATCAAATAAGATGAGATATTTTATATGATTAACTTAAATACTAATAAAAAATTTAACCACGTCTATTACAATAAATTATATGTTAATTCAAACAAAATCCCGGCAAATGTCAGTGCCAAACGCTGCCTTACCATTCCCCTCGTATGATTTTGCGTTTATCCTTAGCGCCACCAGCAACGCTGTATGCTTTCTGTGGAGTCGCTGCAAATGAATCTCAGTTCGTATTCTTCGATTTTAGGTCGGAGAATGGTGAAATGCGAATGGAACCTGAAATTCTCTCTTTCTCCATGGTTATTCTCATCTAAGAAAAGTACTACAAGTATAGCAACATTTGCAAGTTCGTCGGAGCTAAATGGAGCATCCATTTCAGTAGCTGAAGCTGAGAGTTCTTCGTCGATCTCTCTTTGTCGCGATTCCCCCATTTCAGGTTCCTTTTTTCCCCAATTTGTCACAGTGATTGTTTCAGAAATCAAGTCATTACAATTTACATCTAGTGGTTAATTTTTGTTCAGGGTCTATGGAGCAAGTAATGGTGGAATATGTTTTTGGGAGGAAAAAAGCAACTGAAGTTGCTCACTAGTAGGTACCCGGGTCCCGTTATCTTCAGCTCTTTTAGTGTCTAGTTTTGTGGTTCATCGTTTATTGGGTACATTTTGCCTCCATGCAATGTGCAAAATAGTTCTTTTTCCAAGGGGAAGCACCTGTATTTCTTTATGTTATTGTGATATTCCTACTTAAAGTTTTATACTTGCAATTTGGTTGGTAACAAGTATGATGGAGTAATTTTTTTATGCTGCTAGAAACTGCTCAATGGGACTAACCCTTTTGTCTTTTATATTCTCTGAATGAATCCTAGAGGTATACATATATGAACTGCGCATATTCGAAATGAAGTGCTACCACTGATAAAGTTCACAAATTGCTTGTACTCTCTCCGTTTCAATTTGTTTGTCTTAATTTCCTTTTTAGCTCGTTTCGTAAAGAACGTATCTTTCCTCTCTTTTTTATGGCAATTTGGTTGGTGACATGTTGAAAGACATTTTGGTACGTTTTGCATAATTTAGTTTAAGACCACAAGATTCAAAAGTCTACTTTACTTTCTTAAATTCCGTGTCAAGTCAAAACTAGACAAACAAATTAAAACGGAGGGAGTAATGGATTTCTCTTGTTATTGAGTGTCTGTCTTATATATTTCAGTTATTCAATTCAAATTCTGAACTCTTTAGTCTGTTTGACGATTCCTTATTCCAATGAAGTGTTATCAATAATTAAGGTAATAAATTGCTTGTGACTAATTTCTCTTGGTTGCGTCTGTCTTCTATATTTCAGCTGATCAATTAGAATTCTGAAATCTTAAGTCTGTTCAAAAGTTCCTTACTATGTATATTTAACTTTTGACTCTAAATGTCTCAGCAAATGCTTCTTCTTTACAATTATTGAAGATATACAAGTTAAAGCTTAAATGCATTATCTTGTTTTGAGTTCATAGCTGTATGATTATAGGAGACCACAGATGCTCGCTTACTTCTTTCTATAATTGGGTATCATCAAGGGTATCATATAATTTTATCAGCGTATAATCTCCATTTCTGGCAGTGTATGGAAGCATGTTGTTCAGAAGGGGGATGCAGTTGTTGATGCCACCTGTGGAAATGGTTACGATACCTTGGCATTGTTGAAACTGGTTGCTGATAAGACACAGAGAGGTCGGGTTTATGGCATGGATGTTCAGAAAATTGCTTTAGAAAGCACTTCATCCTTACTGGACCAGTTTGCTAGTCCAAATGAGGTACTGCTGCTGCTTATTTTGTATCTCAGGGCCTAATTAGCTATGACATTTTACTGATGATGATGCCAACAAATAGACCATCCCAACTATCTAGCCGGAAGCTAGAGTGAATGGCAGTTCAGATACATCTTCCCATAAAGTTGTCATTCTGTTTGGTTTAAAGCATCTATACCTTCTGCTATAAGCACATAGCATACAGTCGCTTGCATTTATTGTATAATAATCTTAATTGAAGATATAACACCAGCCTAAAAATGTGAAGTAGTTTATCTCAGCCCTAACTTCCACTTTCCCACTTCCAAGAGTCAGGTCTCGGCATCTTGCCTGGTAACTCTACTTCCAACTCCAAAATTACTAGAACCAGCCAAACATGACTAATGATAGTCTGTTATACTACTATGCTTAACATATGCATGGATCTCTCTGTTTATGTCCTTTTCTGTCCAAAGACAACTGGAATAAGAATTAGTTTAAATATTTCACAAGTGTGTGTATGGAACAGCGAGGCTCACCATAAGACTTCGTTCGAAAGTTTGCAAGACCCAATCTCATTAGTGCTCACACATGGGTGAATGGTTTTAACCTGCTTTACCAGTGTCTTGTGAGCTAGATGCCTTTTATATTTTCATTCTAGTTCTTGAACATGTGAAGAAGTAGATTGAGCATCCAGGTGGCAGAACTTGTTTTCTTTTCTTGACATTCAACTATTTCTCCTTACAAATTATTTTACGGATGCAGCTTCTTTAATGAACATTGTTCTGACAATTCTTTAATTATCTAGTTTCTTTCAAAAATGATTGTTTTTCTCCCACTTCATCAGTTCTACATACATTTGAAGCGCATCTGCTGTTCTTCATGCAGAAAGAACTTGTTGAGCTATTTGTCATGTCTCATAGTCAAATGGAGGACATTGTTCCAAATGATGTGGCTGTAAGGTATTGTTGTTTCTCAATTAAAGGATGTCAATGACTTAAACTCTGAATGATCTTCTCCAAAAAAAAACTGCACCATGCTTGTGTCAGGTTAGTTGCTTTCAACTTGGGTTACCTTCCTGGAGGTGACAAAAAGATCATTACCAGGTCTGAAACAACTGTGCTTGCATTAGAGGCTGCTAAGAGAATCTTAGCACCTGGCGGACTCATCAGCATTGTAACTTATGTGGGCCATCCTGGTGGGAGGTAAATTCTTGAACCTTATGTTCATAACCATTTTCAGCTGAAGTTCCCATTTCTGTTGTTTGAGAGTCATCATATATCCACTTGCTGACTATACATTCAAGCATCTTGACTATTTAAGTTGAAAAAGTTCTGTTCAATGGTCTTTCTCATCTCCTCTATTAACGCCCTTTAACTTTCCTAATGACCTATGTATAAGGAAAGTATTTGTATGATTATCTCGCGTGTGATGGTACCCTATTTGCAATGGGTTTAGTTTATAGTAGTTAGTACTATGTCAGATACATATTTACATTTGTTTATCATATAGGGAGGAGTTTGAGAAGATTGAAGAATTTGCTTCAAGACTACCGGTTGAGGGTTGGAACTGTTGCAAACTACATACTTTAAATCGCCCACTAGCTCCCATGCTGATATTCTTATTCAAAAGATAGAGCAGGTTTTTTGAGTTACCAAAATGAGACTTGGTATCATGTCAAAGTGAAATATTAGTGTAGTAAGTAGAATTAAAATGATTTTGTAGTTATGATTAATTTTTAGTTCAATAAATGAAAAATGAGTTGAATATATCATCATGAGATACAATTATATTTGTATAGCTGCCACAATAATCTCACCCTTCCATTCACGCATCATTGTAGTAGTAGATAGTAGTTACAACTAGTATATATGATGAACATGCACACATGCCTTTATTTATTATTTCTAGCTGAAGGTACAATGAGTTTTTGTGCTAGCCAGGTACTAAATATTATTCCTAGCTCGTTTAAGTAATATACATCACTAGTGTATGTAAATTTAAAATTGTTACATGGACAGACGATGTATAGAACTTAAACTCCCCATCTAGAGAGTCTAGAGTTGCATGAAGTTATTTTGGTGGTCTTCTTGTTGATTATTTGTTGTTAGTCCTAGTTCAATTTCCAAGTATGTCAACCACTTTTGACATTCAAATTCATCTACAAGCTGCTGAGGATGATGTTCACTAGTAGTGTCCAAGTTGGAGTAGCTGTCTAAATGATCCAAATTATTAATGCTAGTAGGAGTACTACTAGTATCCAACATGTATTCCCAAAAGTCCATAACTTGATCATTAGCCTTGGAAGAAGTGGGAGAGAAAGACTCTAAAGTAGTGCTATTATTATCCATGTATTGGCCTTGATGACTACTTGTTGAAGTTGATGATGAAGAAGAATTGTATTCCTCTTTCTTCATCACTACTATTCTCTTCTTCAAATGAGTATTCCACACATTTTTAATCTCGTTATCTGTTCTTCCAGGTAAATGAGATGCTATCTTTGACCACCTGTACCATCATACACGTGAAATTAATTTCAAGACATAGATCTACAACGTAAATTATCTCTCTTTCTCACTCACTCTGTATATACCTGTTGCCAAAAGCGCGATGTAGGTTAATAATGGTGTCCTCTTCTTGTGGGGTGAAATTCCCTCTCTTTACGTCAGGTCTTAGGTAGTTAATCCACCTCAACCGGCAACTCTTCCCACACCTCAATAACCCTATACACATACGCCGATATAATAATGAGTAAAACTTCTATACACTGGCCTGGATGCTAGCTAGCAATCAAGTCGATCACCATTGATAAATAAATTCTTAAAAAAAGATCGATGAGACACGTGTTATCTGCTACAACAAATAAAAATACGTACCAGCTTGTTTAGGAAGGGCACGCCAATTGCCATGGCCATGTTTTTGTATGAAAGAAATAAGCTTCAAATCTTCAGAAGTAGTCCATGGCCCTTTCTTCACTTTACTTTTATCACAACAAGCTGTTCTTCCTTTACCCATAATATTTAATAATATTACTTGTGTATATATATATATATTATAATATAATATAATATATGATATGATATGATCAATAATCTCTTATAAACTCACATATACGTTATATTAGTTTCTTTCTGATGAACCAATACATATATATAGTAGGAGGGTTTAAGATGTCTAATAAGGAGTGGGTCCATCCCAAGAATTTCATGTGGACCCTAATATATTAATTAAAAAAAATAAGTAGTATATGATGAAGTTATGTTTGTACATATATTTTACGAGAGAAATGTTGAAGTTTTGCGAGTAAAAAGTAATTTGAAGTACTTAAAAATGAGTCAAAAATAACCAATACACCATTTCCAAAATTGAAGAAATATTGAATAGAATTATACAACTATTAATTTACATATTTCAAAAATAACCTCTTTACCTTCACGAGATAGTAGTAAGATTTACATATATTTATCCTCCTCAGACCCCATTTAATAAAATTTTATTGAATATGTTATTATTGTTAATCAATATATTGAACATACGCACATAGTAAGATTTGTCACAAAGAAATTATGTCATGGAATAATTGAAGTTCCTTTCACTCTTAATTTATCATAATCCTAGCTTATTTGAGTTTTGAAAAAGGAAATCTTCTCGATGGAAATCGTTTTATTTTTCAATTTATTACTATTAATAAGCAAATCAACAGTATTGTAAGATTATTGAGCTATAATAATTTTAAAATGTTCTTATCATAGTATAGTATTGTCCATTTTGAATTAAGATAGCATAGTTTTCTTAAAAGATCTTACATCATTAAAAATATCAGACAACTTATAATTAATCTTTTTAATTATCAATATAAAATTTTATTCAGTCCACGAACTTGGAGATATACAATACTCACAAATAACAAAAGAAGAACACGTGTTGAGTCATATATATATAATATATAATATAATAATTTAGAAAGATAAGTGCTGATTTTCTTACCTACATTAGACCAAAAGTGGACATCCATTTACACAGTGATATATATGTTGTCACAGTTAGTTTGGTAGGATTTCCTAAAGCGTTGAAACTTTTTTTCAACTACCAAAATATAAATAAATAGATATTTCCCATACCGAATTAGTAGAAATTTCATGTTATAAAAAATAATTTTCACAGTTTATCTCTCATCGAATCAGTTTATTGAGAAAATGCACAGTGAAAAACAATTTTTTTATTAAAATAGTCAAAAGCTCCTAATTTTTCTCTATAAAAACATTATTATTATTTTCTCACCAATTTAATCAAAATATTTATGCAAATAGCGATTGAACATTTTTAGCGGAAAAATATAGTTTTTTTTAGTAGTGTTTTTTGTGCCTTGTGTAAAAATATTACTCCTTTAGTTTTCCACATATCTAGTGGTAAAGTTGTGTTTTTAATTTGTTTATTTTTAAATAAAAAGAATCAGAAAGCTGCTAAGGTGAATTGTTGTGACAATACACTCTTTTGTCATAGTTTAATTATGTGATCCAGTACCATTAATTGTTGACATATATACATACTAAAAAGAGATGATTTTTTTTTTAAAAAAAAAGGAAATGCATGGGACAGTCAGTTTCACAATTCTAAAATGACAATTAAACGTATTTTTTCCTTATTAAAATGGATAAGGAATTAAAAGCAGCATGCATTTAGCATTTGCCTCAGCAAATAAAAACTTCATCCGCTCGCGGAGCCAAAATTTTCAATTAGAGAATTTAAAATATAAAAAAGTAGACATATGAATAATCGAAGGGGGTGTAACATCTCCTATATATATATACCTAAAAATTATTTTAATCATATATAAATAGTGTAATTTTTCGTCGAAGATGGTTCGGATGATCCCTAACTATAGGTAGCTCCAGTTCACTTTTGTTTGTCCACTTTAGACTTTACTCGTCTCTTAAAAAATAATAGTTGATATGAGGATTTGACATAATGTCATATTAATTGATTTTTGGTATTAGGTCTTGGAAAATAATTGAAAATAAGTAATTAATTGTAATACTTAGTAAAATATGAATATTTGTTTTGATTTGTTAAAAATGTCAAGTAGTAAAAGCGAAAATCAATTTTTGGAATAATGAACGAGTAAAAATAAATGGAGGAAGTATATATGCCAATATTTGTTTTTAGATTAATCTTTATTCATTTATTTATTTTAAATATGAATTACGGTATTGTTTGCATTGCTAGCGTAAGATTTGATGACTTTTAAGAACCAATAATAATAATCTCCTATATATGATCAGTTATAATTTAAACAAGAATATAATTCTTATGTGCTTCTTTTATAAAGAATTGTATATGTTTATAACTTTTTAAAAAATAGTTTAAGTAGCCTGTTATCCTAGGGAGTTGCCACTTGGGATCACACAAAACGCCACATTTTAGTATCATTAATTAGTTTTTGCCAAATATAGTTGACGTGTCATGACTTGCAATTTGTGTTTTTTTTATGACCACAAAATTTAATGACATGACATGATTAATCTAAGCATAGTGGAATTGTAAATTTGATAAAAAGTCATCTATCAGTTGGACTTGAGAACCATCACAATTAATGCCATTTCCTAATTAAACACCTAGTCACGTATAATAATTTTACAAATTGTGTTTTTCTATGCATGCATTCTTAATTTTTAATATGTTTTATTTGAGTTAAAAGTTATATATATGTGGCTAATAATTAGTTAATGTATTGAATTTGGTTGGAGGGTGAAAGGCACATAATGTTTGACACGCATCAAACTTGTGTTATCCGCATGTATAGTCTTAAGCTCCTCTTACAGTATAAATAATATTATTATCAATATAATATTAGCCTAGGAGCTTATAATTTAAAACAAAATTGGTAAATTTTCATGAATCTATGTCTCTAATTCCCAAACAAATCAACTACACGTATTTTTAATGTTGTCAATGCCTATTTGAAGGGCCTGAAATTGATGACAATACACTCTTTTGTCACATCAACTTACCAGCAGCTAATATCAGTAATCATCAAAAGGTGTGATGCAGTGGATAAAACTATTCCTTTTTTAATCAGTGATCTCGTGTTTCAATTCTTAGTATGGAGAAATCTACGCTGCGCAAATCAAGAATAATCGAACTCCAATGCCGGAGACGGAGCACCAATGGAAAAACAAATACCAATAACGCTTTTATCATCACGTGAATTTGGTGGTTTGAACTTGTAAGCACATGAAACTTTCAAAGTGTTCACACATTGGCAGGTAAAAGGATCCGTGCACTATCAAGATTGCTCTACTTTTGATTGAGAGAGTCAGTTTTATCAAAAGGTAGAATCCAAATAGGTGAAAAGACGGCAGAAAAAATGGGACCATGTTTGACAAAATATTGTTTATGGTTGCAGCATTCTTTGACAAGCTAAAGAGTCCAAATACTCTTCACCAACAACTATGAGTTATGACAATGATTGAAATGGTTTTTTTTTTTTAACAATGAGTCATTGGTAAAGTTTTTTTTTGTTTTTTTATGACCGTGATTTCCAAGTCATCTTTCATACACCTCAACTAATTGCACTTAATACCTGCCACCTGCCACCAACAATAGGTAATTCTGCCTACAAAGGTCAGGGCAGATGAAAAGAATCACCTAGTATTTTTTTGTCTCTGTTGAGTTTTGAACATGAGACCTCAAGTTCCCACAAGCTTATCTTAGCTAAAGGGGTATATACATATGGTTTGCGGCTGAGCAATTATGTGCATATTTGAAGGGAGTAATAGCCTCCTCACATTGCAGCAAGAAATGGAAACAAAAAAAAAAGAGACTACATATTAGCAAATTAAACCTGAATTTAACATAAGGTGCAGACAATCACAAAATGTTCAACCAACCACAAGTTTTTCCTGTTTATTCCAATCGTACATCACCAAAAAAGGGAAGAGAAGAAATGTTCATCCCAAGTTCATGGAATAAAGACAGGACATCTAAGTTTTTCACCAAGTTAAGTGCAACCTAGAGTCTGCCACCCCGAAGTGCAAGAACAAGGTGAAGAACAGAACCACCTTCGATATTGTAGTCTTTAGCGGTCTTGTCATCTGCTAGCTGTTTTCCAGCATATATAAGCCTGCATTAAACCAAAAGTACAAAGTGTAAATCCACTGCCTGAAACTGCCAAAAACAAATAACAAACTATGAACACAACTTGTATCACATAGGATAAAGATATACTGGGTAGGTAGTTCACACAAATAGATATATCAACAAGTACAATATCTCCGAGCCACTGTTCACCTTCTGCCCATAAGATGAAGGTGAAATCCTACAACATCTCAATTAGTACACCATGGATTTCCATAAACTAAGAAATAGTATTCCAGTAAAAGCCATATCCTGATATGCTATAGTACTATAATGATCATGATAGACAACAAAAAGTCTGCCAAAATGGTTAATGAAGCGAAATATAATGTTTTCATATTTTCTATTATCTCAATCGGATAAGATACAAACACCACAGACTGAGCACTCATATAGTTCTGTTTTTTGGCATTCACTGTCACTTATAAGAAAGGGAAGAAGCAAACTTGTCCAAATTATTATAACAAACTGCATGTTGGCTATATCTGTCTACTTGCAAGAAAATCCTTTTACGAAGCCAAGACTAAGCGAAATATCTCTCAAAAGGAGAGATAGAATTGAATGTCTCTAGGGCTTCGGTCTAGTGGTAAGACTGCAATATGTGATGTGGGTATGTTGGTAAGGTGCACATCTTGAGTTTGAATTCTGCTGAAGATAAAAACCTTGTGTTTAAGAAGGGCAGAGGGGCAGAACATTGTTGATAGAGTTTCGAATCATTCACCACCCCAAGAATTTCATGATTATCCAAAAAAATAATAATAATAAAATTTTACACCAAACTTAGAAAAACAAACACCAGGATGCCCACCATTTTTCTGGCAATGCTAGCAGGCAGGTATGAAATTAGGCTGATAAAATTTGGCTAATGAGAGCAGATGCAGATTACAAGATCTGTAAGACCTGCTGATATTTC